AAAAAAAAAAAAAAAAACTCAACTTAATAAAACCAACACCTTTTCAGCTTCGCATCGAAGCTAAAATGTTGACATTTTTTTTCTATCAAATTATTAAGCTATAAATAGAAGTTCTCATTAAAGAAAATTAAAATTTAGATTTTTAACCCTGTAGGGATAAATGAAAAATTATTTAACTATATTTTATGTAGTTTCTTGAATCAAACAATTTTTTCCTTTATGAAAATAAAAAATTTTTAGTAGTTTCCAAGAAAATGAAAAATTCTTAATTCTTAATTGATCGCTACGTATCTTTTTAATTTATTAGTGATATCTAACGTTTTCTATAAATCATAAACAAGTGCTTCTATTAGTGAGTATAGAAAACCCTTTACAGTTTAGTGGTATAGAATCAAACCTACATATGATTATTGGCAACCAAATTGTACAAGCTACTTCTAACTCATTAAGCCTGCTATATTATAGTCTATTTATCTTATGTGCTATCCAGCAACTTAATTATAAATTGTTGGTTAGCATAATATTTCAAAGTAACATAATAAGTTTTGTCTTTTATTTTAGGTTTTATTAGTGGTTCAACCGAATATGCAAGTCCCAACGAAGCAATCCATATGTTAAGTGACAGTTAAAAACTCTTATGTTCCTAAATCAACTATTTAAGTATACAATTAATTGAACTTACCATCAAGTTATATAATTTTAAATTATTTAAATTGATATTCAGTATTTAAATTTTTTACAATTAAAAAAGAATAGTATTTAAATTACTCTATAATGATAATCAAATTGTATTTTTAGTTTTAATAATTGAAAATTAGTTATTGTTATAAGTTATTGCACTGGACCCTTCAATTGATGCAATTTATGTTCTATCTATGCAATTTAATTGTTTTACATTTAATATTTTTAAATATTATTTTTGTCTCAAAAATAACTTAACGTCAACTACTTTAAAAAATAATTGAATAATTATTTTTAAAAATTTAATTTTGTAATATTTTACACAGTAGCTTAAATGTAATTTTATCATTGTTTATATGCCATTTCATATATCATTAAATCATGCTCTAAATTACTTGCTAATATAAAACTTTTATTTATATTTTTATCATAGGTACAATTTGAATAAAATGTTTAGGGAATCTGACTTTATTTCTCTTCTCTTGAAAATATTTCTATATATATATATGAGCATGTAATTTTCAATAATTTTGGAGAGGCTGCAACAGAATAGGGGAGTTGAGCCTCTCCTAGAGCCCCTAGATTACACCTATGTTTTTTTTTGATAATTTTTAATGTGTTAATGACTAAAATATGAATTGTTTTGTTGTGTATAAGTTGTGGGAGTGTTATATTGCTATGGAATTTTTTTTTAAATTATTGAGTTTTTTTTATTTATTAGTATAATAGGTTTGGTGCTTATACTATATATTTTTTGATCATATGTCTTAATTCTTAGCATTACCAGTGAGTCACTCAGAGATCAACCAAAAAAGACAGATTAATTATTAGTTCTTTAAAAAAATATAGTTAAATCATTATTATCATAAGTACTTAATTGGTGATATTATTATGATACATAAAGAACTATTTTTGTAATTATTGTGAACACTAACGTGTTTATATAACATATTAGCATAAAATAATGTAATAATGTTAGTTTTGTTTTTTAAATATATTTTTTAAAATTCTTAAAAGTTGTTTTACTTAATTATGATCTCTAGATGGAGCAATACATTTTTCCTTCCTAGTGTATACCAAGAAATTATAACTATGTAACTAAATGTCATACGCCAAGTATAATTATTTTAATTATCTACCAAATCCTGTGTAACTTCGACCTAAAACAGGACGTAATTACTTTTGTATTTTATTTTCGTTTTATATAATTAGATTTTAAGTTTTTTACTGTCCTAAGTTTTATTTATTATACTTGCTGTTTCTGTAAATGATTATAAAAATATTATTTTTCTTTTCTTTAAGTTACATTTGTTTATGTACGATTGTTTGTTCACCGAGTGATCAAGGACTATTCTTTAATATATGTGTTTTCTTACGATTGTCTTAGCGATATGCTAAGACGCCATTGGTTCTCTTTAAGGGTGTTAGAAAACATGATTAAAAAAAATCTCTTTATAACCAGTAAACAGTTTAAAATACCCTTTAAGACCAATATAAATGTTTAAATAAATGGTGTTTATTACACGTTTAAAACGTAATATATTTACTAAAATTATAGTGACGGGTAGAACACGTATATTATTGTTTACCTGATGCAAATTGTTAAAAATTACTTAGTATCTCACGAGCGATTACAATTGTAGTGCAATTGCATTACATATTTATAATTATTTGTTTGATATATAATATATATTCAAATAAAAATCGTGCATACTATATTATTGATTATGACGAAAGAAATGAATAGGAAAATAATTTAGAAAATTTAAAGTGTACGTAATAAATACACTATTATAATTATTTTATAGTTTAATACGTTAAAATGCCCCATAATCATCATCATCTATTAAAGGCAATGCCTTGTCGTTGAAACTACCCCTTTCTGTTTGTACCAAATTCTTCAGTGAAGCAAAATACGCATAGTTCATGAGTTCCAGGATATTTTGAAAATATTGTTTTTTTGGGAGTCTTTTAGGTTTCTTCCCATTTATTTTTCTGTATTTCTTCTAGTACTTCTTTTAGCATTTGCTCATTTCTTTTCTTAACTATCCATTTTGTCTTTGTCATTTTTCTCCACATCCATAACTCTAATCCTTCTAGCATCCCTCTGTTTTTCTTGTCAATTGTCCATGTTTCACTGTCATTTGAATGCATTAATGATTTTAAACAATAGATATTTTGACTTTTATCCTATATTTTTCAATATTTCAGCCGGGATATCGTCAATTCTTGTTGCTTTTGTCACTCATTTCACCTAAAGACTTCTCAAACTCACTTATCAATATTTCAGGTACTTTTCTATCTTCATTTACATCTATTTCATCTATATATTCCTCTTCATTTTCAGTATCCTCTTTTCCCTCATACAGTTCTTCCATATATAATATCCATCTCTCTACTACCTTTTCATTTTCAAACACAATGTTGCCATGTTTATCTTTAACTATATTGCTGGATGTCTTGGGTTTATTGCAATTTTTAATTGTCCCATAAAACCAATATAAATGTTGACATTTTTCGTGTTTTGAACACCAAAAAATGAATTTGAGTGTGAAAAAATTCCTTTTTTACACATTGAATGTAAACAGCGAAAAAGAATAAAATAGTAAAATAACCTGCGTAAAAAAAAAACAAGATAAAAAAAATAAATTTTCGAGAAAACTCATTTTTAATTCCAATTAGAATTTTTTACAAAATCAATGAAAAGTTATAATATTAAATTGTATAAAAGCTCATGAAATTCAAAACACAGAATCAATAATCGTAATAAATAAATAAAAGTAAAAAATTGAATTACAGTTCTGGAAAGACAATCATGGAATACTGACTTAATGGCAAGTAATATAATTTTTTTTATCTAAAAATGATAACCTGATATTTTAAATATCAGTGTCAATTGATTACTAACAAAAAATAAAGGAAGAGTTCTACATACAATAGTAATACTACACTATACAATCAATAAATATGTATCAATGTAAAGTATAACTACTGAACACTATCGACACCAAATTTTTTTACTCAAGTGTTAAAAAATAAATATTGAAAATATTTTGTAAAAAGATTTGAAGTTAGAGAAGTTTTAGCTATCTTAAAGCAAAATAATCTTTCGATGATAAATTATATAAGTGTAAAACACATTAATTAATATAATAATTTTTTAAACTGATCATATACTTCAAATAAAAATGTTCTCTTTATCAAGTATTAATAAAAATACGCTTGCAATTAAACTGAATTATCTACTTTTTCATGCCGGTAAGTATTTTAACAATGGTATTATTTAGGACTAATTTAAATTAATCATAAATACATTTTTTACTGAAAAAATAAAATTTAAAAATCGTTCTAGAATTCACAATTGTGTAAAATTATGAATTATAGATATGCCATTTTTTTAAAATTTTTTTAGTATTGGTTTATTTAATTTTACACGAAGAAGAGATATTTGTTTGTAATTCATAATGATAATTATTATATTCATTGCAATAAATTATAATCCGTTTGAAAAGATATATTTTTATAGTCATCAGAAAAATTATTTTTAAAATTTTATAAGATGAATTTATACAAACTATTCCGTTTAAAATTATATTAGAAATGTAAAGAATTATTATTATTTTATAGGTACAGCTCCTATAATGGGTTTCTGTCCGACAATAGCTAAGCAATTGGGCTATTCTCCACTAGTGGTTGGGTATATGTTAACTTATTTACCAATTTTAAGTATGATAACGAAGTCTTCTTTAGGATTTATTACTGACAAATTTCCTGTAAAAAAAATGTTTAATTTACTTTCAATATTTTTTTGTGGACTTTCTATATTTGCACTGATGTATGTACCAAAGTTACCATTAGAAACATTAGCAAAGTTTAATTGTAATACACAAAATACCACTATAAGGATTCATTTAGACAATAATCAACTTAATGTTTCAAATACTGAATATTATGAAGAGAATATGTGCAATGTAAGTCTATAAACAATGTATATATTAGCTAAATAAATTAAATAAATTAATGTATATTTTTATGTAGCAAAAAATAAATCGTGCTACTGAATTATGTTTAGATATTTTTATTACATTTAAATATTAGACATATTTCATTGTCATGCTTCTTCTAATGTCATATGAAACAGTGTTGCCACAATGAGGAATAGGGCTCATAGTATAGTAGAGGACGGCCCTTTAAGGGTTTATACTACGTTTAGCTATTAAATTTCTTTTATCACTACTAAGTTTTGAGTTTATTATTAATTAGTAAAATACGAGTATTTACATTTTTTTCAAAATAAAGAATATTATATAAGCTTATTTAAGATATATATAAAGGTGTTAGGATTCCCGAACATTTTCAAAAGTTAAGTTGAAAAAGTTCTCTTTATAAAGGCTAATGGTTAGATTTTAAAAAGAAATATTTTGTATAAAAGGAGAGTATATAAAGTATTTATAAAAAAAATTATAATGATCTATACATTTTTGAAAAAGTTATAGCAATATAAAGAAAAAAAAAATAAAAAATCGAGTATTTTTTCACAAAAATCATACTTTTTTCTTTAAATCAGATTTTCAAAAAAAATATATATATATACCATATAACAAGAAAATATCTAAGATAATTATAAAAAATAATTAACCCTTAAACAGTCGCGTGGGGGTCTAGCATACCCCCCCATAAATAAAAACGGATGTATTATATTGCATAAAAAGTGTACATAGATATAAATTTAGAAGATAGTTTTTATAGTAATATTAAATCGATTTTCATAAATAAATACCTTCGAAAAAAAAAATGTATGATTTAAAATATTCATCAAAATTGAAATGGGTCATATTTACCCCCACGTGACTTGTAACGTTATAATTTTTTTTTAAACTTGTACTTTTTTCAAAATATCGTTTTATCGTAAATGCAATGTTATAATCGATATAATATTGTGGAATTCGGATTATGTGGATCTGCCACTGACTGTGCAATTAAGTTNATTATGTGGATCTGTCACTGACTGTGCAATTAAGTTTTAAAAATAAATAATCTTTTGACAATTTCCACTACTCGATGATACGGAACAAATAAGAACAAAACATGTAATAAATACATCGCGTTGGAATGTGGACACATTAATTATCGGTAATCGATGTGCTATTACGAACGACTAATTGTATATACTCGTATCAAAATAATTAAATGTATTGTAATATTAATAATAAAAAAATTCAATTCAGAAAATTGATTATATAAATGTAAATACACATAAAATTAATAAATATAAGACGTGTTTGAGCTCAAAGAAATACAAGAAAAATTAATTAAAATACATTTTGTAATAGTAAAAGCTTTTGTTTACCGTCTTAAAAATAAGATTTTGCAGTTAAAATAATTTTTTTGCAAACCAAAATTTTTTAATGAAATTTTGAAAATTAAGTTTTTTTTTTTTCGTAATATAATTTTTAGTAACGCACATAATTTTGTAATTTATTTATTTTTGAATTTTTATCCATATTTATATATAATATGGTAACAAATGTCTTTGAATTTAAAAAAATTAAATTTTTTATACATATTTTATACTTTTTTAGAAATGGGGTCTGATAGACCCCACGTGACTATGAACGTTAAAAATAGGCACGCGCCTGCTAAAGGGTTAATTAAAAAATATATGACTGATTAATTATATTTTTTTGTTTTATCAATTATATTTTATTTTAGCTTTTCTTAATTAGCAACAAGACTTGTGGCAAATCTATTAAGATAAAAAAAAATAAACCCAACGCCATAAAAAGCGTCGTTTTAGAAATCCACTAATTTTTTCAAGTGATTTTTGTAATGTTGGTTAATTTTATTTATTTTTGATTATTATTTACCATGGTGTGCAATTCAAATATCATATCTTTCATTCTTACACTGCCTATAAGATATAGTTATAACTTTTCGGATTTTCAAACCATATTGTGTATATTTTAATTATTTAATAATTTTTAAAATAAATGTATTTTTATTTTTAGTTTAATTGTGATTCCAATGATTCTTTCAATAATGTGGTACAGAAATCGTGGAATTTAGAATGTTGTTTTTTAATCAATAATTTTAATGCATCTTTGAAAAAAATGGAAAAGGTATTCACTTAAGTAGAAAATAATAGTTTATCAAAAGAAGTGCTATTTAAAAGAGATTATCATCAAAATTTGATGATATTCGCCTCAATTCAATTATATAGAGTGATGAATGTGAAATGAGTTTCAGCAATTTCCATACAAATAAAAGTTTTAAAAAAATGTATTGTTAATGAGAATTCAATTAAAACTTTTTGTAGTGACATAGAGATTCAATATTTAACAAAAATATTTCAGATTGAAAATGTTTACAATTACTTTATTACTTACGTTCAAATCAATGAAACAAAAGTTATCAACCCTACCTGTGTATATTTGGTAGAAACTCAATGTAAAATTAGTTGTTATGACTCGATTACTATGAAAATTGTGACCCAAGCCACATATACAGGAAATCTGATTGAGTTAAACTCGTTTTGGATATTTATTATAGTATTGAGTATAATTTGGGCATCTATGGCGGTAATTTGGTCAACTCAAGATTCTATTTGCATTGACATTTTAGGTAAATTAAATGTATTATCAACGACTTAAGAGACTTTGGAATAGGGAATCACGTCCGCCAGGTGTGTAAACATTTGCCTGAATAACAAATGACATAGATTTGATTCTCAATCCTCTGGTATATATTTTATTCAGTTACTGAGTATCTAACATTTTTTTTATTATTTATACAGTTGAAATATGTGTTTATTTTATGCTTAGGAGAAAATACTAAAGATTTTGGAAAGCAGCGAGCTTGGGGTTCGTTAGGTTGGGGCCTGGCATCTATAATTGGAGGGTTACTCGTGGACCACTTTAGTGGGAATAAAGAAGAAAAAAATTATGCATCCATTTATTATTGGGGAGTGATATTAATTTTTTTCAATTTTTTAGTAGCTTATAACTTGAAAGTGAGTTTCATGTTGCCCAAAATTATTTACTGTACTAAAGTAGTGATTTGTTGCAGGTTGTAGAGATTAAAAAATCAGGACAAACGTTTAAACATATTTTAAAAACATGTAAGAAAGTTTATGTACTAACATTTTTTTTTTGGGTTACATGTTTAGGCATATTTAGTGCAATTCTTTGGAATTTTTTATTTTGGTAAGATTACCAAAAGGTTTTGGTAGGATTATTTTTTTTTAACTAGGAGTAAATATTTTATGTACATAACATGTATATAAATACAAATTTAAATTATATCTTTAGGTATCTTGAAGATATAGTCAAAGTGAATGATACCAATCAAATTTGGATTAAAACTATTCAAGGAATGGCGATGGGAATCCAATGTTTAGGTGGAGAAGTTCCATTTATTTTTTTGTCAGGTGGATTGATAAAACGCTTAGGACACAGAAATTGTATGTCTTTGGTGTTGTTTACATTTGCAATTCGATTTTTTTTGTATTCAATTCTAACCAATCCAATTTGGGTTTTACCAATCGAGATTTTAAATGGTATTACATTTGGGCTCGCATATCCAATTATAATATCGTATGTTAATCAAATTGCTCTTCCAAATACAATGAATACACTTATTGGATTTTCACAAGGACTTTTTGACGGAATTGGTAAATTATGCTTATTTATATAAATAGTTACATCAAGGTTAATAGAAAAAAGAAAATTCCTTTGGTTTTTTCAAAAAGCTGATATGTTACAATGATGAATTTTGAGATTTTTTTTCATGTGATAGAATGATGTTATATTTTATATACCAAAAAGTTATAAGTAAATTTTAAAATGAAAAACTTTTTTTTTTATTTCATAAGTGCCGATTGAAATGTTTGAAATATGATTGGTATTAAAACCGTAAATTACCCAACCTTATCTAATTTATTCATCAACTTTTAAAAGTTAAAGTTCAAATAGTGTAATACATAAAAATAAAATTATAGTATAAATATATACTGATTACAGGTGCATCTTTGGGAGGTTTACTTGGAGGATATCTTTACGAAATTTATGGTGGTTCAAACACATTCCGGTTATTTTCATATGGATCTCTATCTTTGGGCATTTTACATGTTCTATATACTACAATTGGTGAGTTACAAAGTTAATAAATAAATATTTACATTTATAGTATATGTATGTAGTCATTATATAGTCAATTAAATATAAATATTTTGTTAAAATTTGATTACTATCAATTTATTAAGTACAAAGGCGCAACCAGAAAATAATTTCGCAAGGGAAGGCGTAGTTAGAAACCTTTATTCAATCAAACAAAACTACTATTTTTTTATATTGATTATCAATTATTTCCTGCGATTATCCTTTAATACGCATTGATGAAGTTAAATGTAAAATTGTAATCCCTTAGTTAGTACTTATTAATTGTACAGGACAACGATAATTTTCTTGTTTTTAATTTTTACAAGAATTCTTTAATGAATTTCTATGCTGATTCCCAATCTGACTTTTTTCTATGAAATTTAGTTTTTGAGATAATTATCAATTAGTATTTATTAGTATTTAATTAAAAAAAAAATTNAGTTAGTACTTATTAATTGTACAGGACAACGGTCATTTTCTTGTTTTTAATTTTTACATGAATTCTTTAATGAATTTCTATGCTGATTCCCAATTTGACTTTTTTCTATGAAATTTAGTTTTTGAGATAATTATCAATTGGTATTTATTAGTATTTAATTAAAAAAAAAATTAATTTTTGAGTATAACTGTTTTTAAGATTAAAAAATTTCTTTTTTGTTTTTGAAATTTTGTAAAAGTTATTATTAAGTTTTATAACCTTTAGCAAAATGTATAAAAAAATATATTCTACATATCAATTTATTTTTATATGATATTACCTTATAAAGTAAGGCACTGTGCATTATTAACTAATATACGTTTGTTCATTAATAAAAATATACATGTATAGTATACATTGTATACTTTTTGAAATTATAGTGTTTATTATAGAGTGCCTAAATATATTAATTAATAAATAGGAAAGTTATATTTTATTTTACAAATTTGTCTTTTAAATTTTAATATTGAATGTTTTTTTAATTTCAGGTAAGCCCGAAGTTTAAATAAGAGATCTATGAAATTGAATATTAATTTAAATAAATGCTTTATTGAAGATTTCGTTAGCTTTTAAAAAAACAGTTACAGTTAAGGTGTATCATCATTTTATTTTTAACCTTGTTTACTAAATAATATTTTTAAAGGACAATAAATTCCAAACAATATTAGTATTGATTTCATACACATATTTAAACTGAGTCTATTAAAAATGACTACACTTTTTGTATCACTTTGAACTATATTTTTTATTGTAATTTGTAATCGCCCAAAGGTGCCAACGAGATTTTTCTTGTGATTTTCTCTTTGGTAGTGTAGTGTCTGGTCTTTGGTGCAAGCTAGCCTTAATACCCATTCTGTCCGTCATTGGCCAAGCCAAGAACCATCTTTGACTTCCTAACATGTAAAAGAGGGTCACCATCCTCTGTATTTCAATACAGCTGACTATTATGATTTTTTATTTAGTTATACTTTTAAGCCGTTTTCATATTATACTAAGTTTTACTAACAATATTTTCGATAAATTCTCTATGGTCGATAATGATGTTCTTAAAACTCATTCTGAACTTGTCTAAATAAAATCATAAGAATATGTCTATATTCAAAATATAATCAACAAGACTGTGGTAGTCCAGCGTTTCTCAGCTTTGGCTGACGCGGATACAGATAATCTCGTTAATAGTTATTAAATATTACTACAATACATCATATCATATATAATACATCTCTTGCTATTCTTAATGTCAACTGCCTACACGTTACCGGAAGGTAATTGGCATAGCTCTTTCTGGCTGGCGGGTACACAGGTATAGAATATTACTACTAATACTAATTAATTCTAATCACAATATTACGCTTCTTCATTTTGTTCGGCACTTTTAAGGCTGTCCGAAAATAAAAGGGCACAATAATATATAAAACCTTTGAGTCTTCTAATTGTTAAATAAAATAAAAAAGAAATTTATTAAAAAACTATGAAGATGTTTGGGTAAAAGTGAAATAAATAAGACTTTTTATGGGTAAAATATTAATAAATCATCTAAAAACAATGTTCATCATTTAACATTCAGAAATTTATTTGTAATTATATTTCATCTATTGCTTTATCATTTTTTACACAGATTATTAATACTAATAATTTAGGATATTATTATAGATTCACTTACTTTGTATTATTGTGTAATTAATCTAAACTCGATAGATATGTTTCAACGTCGAAGGATGTAAAACTGGTATTTTAATGTATATATATATACATATGTATAGTGTCAAATAAAAATTCATAAAATATAAATTTTCTTTAACATAAACATTTTAAATAAATGATTCCACAAGTAATGCGGCGACGACATCACCTGGTCGCGGCTAATAAAATATTAGCAAGGGAATCCGTTAAAAATCGAATTTTCTTTTAGATTTTATCCAGAACTCACTCTGATCTGCGAGGAGAATTAAGTCTTTTTATATAATCTTAAATTACTTCCAATCTTAGTATATTGTCATCAGCGTTTTCAGCGAATATTTGTTTTTTATATTAAATTGAACGTTATATGATTATTATTTTAAGATATAGTGTTCGGTAAGTAAGGAAATGGATTTCTATTGTTCTCATTGTTTATAACCAGGACTCATAAGTTCATGCATTAAAAAACTAAAAAAAACATGCAAACATCCACCCCTCCCGACGCCTATACTAAAAATATAAAATAAGCATATTTTGAAAGAGCAAGAAGTATTTAAAATGTATAACTTTTTATTATAAACTATAAATTTTTAGTAAAAAATTATAAACAAGTAATTAACACAATTTGAAAGATTTTAGTAATCTTCAAAAATGAATTATTTTTCCGATTTTCAATAATAATAATAAGATTATTAAAATGTAAATAATTAAGGTTTGAAACATTTGAGTACCTACTTAACTATGATTTTTTTAAAAATTAACCATGAAAATTACATTGTACTATTAGTATTTTTTTTATGTTTTCTAACTTAAAAGATCGACGATTGTTGACTAACAAGTTTTTTAATTTTGAAAATGATCTTTCTACGTATGACGAAGTAAGTGGTGCATACTTAAAATATAATAAATCATTCCCATTAATTTCTTCAGGTAGATTAAAATTTTTAAGGTCATCTTTACCATTTAAAACATTTGAAATGTTACAAATAATATTATACTCAAGATTATTACCTAAAACATTTTTCAATTTTGAATTTCAATACTGTTGAGCCTTTTAGTTTCATAAATTTTTCGACAATTTCAAGTCCTTCATTCAATGTAATACTTTGTTCTTGAAGTCGTGTGATCGCTAGCGACANTTTCAATTTTGAATTTCAATACTGTTGAGCCTTCTAGTTTCATAAATTTTTCGACAATTTCAAGTCCTTCATTCAATGTAATACTTTGTTCTTGAAGTCGTGTGATCGCTAGCGACAGGCAATTAAAGTTTGATTTAATGTAAATTAGATTGGCCTCTAATGATTAGAGTTTAAATATATGTTTGGATTTTTTTATAGCTACAGAATCATTATTGTCAAATGATTCAACTATGCGTTTTAAAATTTCAAAATGTCTACAGCAGTACGACGCAGCTATTAACCAAGTTCTCCACCGCGTAATGATAGGTGCTGGAGGTTAGAGCCTTCAGTTTTAAAAATGTTTACTCGATATGGGCATTTCCGAAATATTTATTTTACATTAGTCACCAAATTGTCGTCCTTTTCGAGTTGAAAACGAATTTCTTTGTTTACACGATGTCAGCCATGTGCTAAACAAGCGAGATGAATCTTTTTGTGTAAAAACATTGAAGAATACGAGCAGACTTTTTAATGTACGGCGCGGCATCGGTTACAAACAACAAGACAACGTCGTACTGTATTCCGTTGGGCCATAATAACAATAACGATTTGTAAAATGTTTTACAAATAGTACTATGATTCGCTTTATCAAGTTCTTTGATATTTTGCCGGGAGAATCATGCAAAAGTGTTCCAATTATTGTACTATAATTTTACTATGTATCTTCCCTCAACATCTGTTGTCTCGTCTATAGATATCCATATTTTGTTACTGATCACTTTTTTCCTGATCTCGTTCATTGTTTCGTTGTAATATTAGTCAACATATCCCAAACGCCAAGTAGATTAAACGGAGGTATCTTTTTCAGTATACGTCTTCTCGAGAAAACTTCTGAATTGTCTATTGGATAGTTTGTTCAGAAGAATATTAGCGGCTAGCATTGCTCAACATTAATCGATATTGTATTAATTTTTTTGACATGGTTGGTAAGAGAAACTGAATTTTTTTATTATCTTCACTTTTTTGAAAACGTTATATTGCGCGTTTATGTTTGTCAAAAGCGATGTGTTGAGTTACACTGAAACATTTTTCACTTGATACTTTTATTTCACTAGCTTTACAAATTAGCATTTTATTATCGATTGAAAATATATCTTTGTCAAATTCAATTAACAATTTATTTTTATTTTTTTACCTTCATTGGAATAAGATTCAACTGAATTTACAGGAAATAATATGTAATAATAACTCCAAAAAAACAATTATATGCCAAATATGTCCTAACACCCAAAATATGCACTATCAAACTTGATATTTTTGTTAATATTGTTATGAAATGAATTTGTAGCTCAGTTAGCATGATTTTCTAAGAAGCAAAAAAAACATGAAAGGCATGAATTTACGAGCCCTGTTTCCTTATTTACTGAATAATCTGTTTATAAATTTATAAATAGATGTTGTACAACAATGTAAATGTTATGACAAACATATAAATCATTTGTTTGTATAAAAGTAACAGATTATAATTATTTTATGATGTGTAATGCAACGCAACTGTGCATATTACGACAGCATTTTTTTAAGGGAAGAATATCATTTATCAAAAATAATTTTAAAAGTTTAATAATTATTTCAAGTTTATTTTATTTTCTTAAATGTATGTCTAAAATAGAGCAAGATTTTGGCTTTGGGAAATAAAAGTAAAAATTAATTTAGTATGCTATTTCAATTTTTTTATGCTTAGAAAAGTATATTTTTTATTTTAGGAAGGTACATTTTAATAAAAAAATACTTCTAGTATATTTCATTGATTTTTTAGAGAATATAATAAGAACATTTTTAACTTGTTGAGAGAACATTAGCTTTATATTTTGGCTATTTTAAAAGAATATTATTCCGACCTTTTATTATAATCATTTTATTTTCAATTGTAACAAATTTACTAATTTTTCATAAATATGATAGGATATTAATTTTTGTATACATTTTCCTGAATATAACCAATTAGACGCTAGGTAAAATGTTTACAGGTTATTCTATAATATACTCGATTCATAATTAAGTTCATTTAATGTTGTTATCAATCAAAATTTAACATTTAATAGCAAATCTCAACACCAATATTAAAATTTATTATTATCTAATTTTTTCACTAATTAATAGCTACCATACTCTACATTCCTATTCAAATATGTTTATATTCAACGGTTAATAAGTATTAGTATAATTCTCATTATGTGTACTTAAGCGTGTTAATTATTTTTTTGCATGTAAAATATTGAAGTTATGTATTATTCTATATCATCCGCCCTTCTGTAAATACAAAATTTATTTGTAACTGAACACTATTAATAAGTTTAAATTAAATACAAATTTTATAACTCTATGAATAGTGTAGTAAACATAATAGTTTACTATATTAAAAACACAACTATTAAGATATAAATTTTTGATATGAACTATTATAGTACTTATATATTGATATTAACATTGATTCATTTTTAATGATTAATTTTAATTATCTAGTAATTCAAAGAGTTCCGATGTACATTGTTCGAAGAACTTGTTCGCTTAATAATTAGTTTTTATATCATATAAGTTATATATTTCTATTGTGAATTATTTATTTATTATTCATATTTTAGGCATCTTTTTGTGTTTATATTTATCTAAATCAACTGAACATCAGTCATATTTCTGGTTTTTTTTTGATATAATCAAAAAAGGAACGTGTCAGATATATGTATATATTTATATTTTAATATTTCAATTGTTTTATTAGAAACCTATAAACATGAGTATTAACAAAAGTATGATACCAATTAAATTAAGTTTTTTCTTCTTTTATGGATGTAAGTATTAATTTATTATTACTTAAATAATAGGAATTATAATAAATTTAGTACCACAAATTTTAGGTGATTTGAAGTAATACATAAACTTTTAAATAACCATAAAAAATGAAATTTTTAACTAAATACTATAGAGTATTTAATGAAAAATAGCTTAAAATTTACTTAATTTGAAATTGAATACCGAGTATATTTGTTACTGAATCACTTATTGTAATAAGAGTTCAGTATTTTTTTTTGTGAGATGTATTATATAAAAAATTGAAAAAATTATGTTAAGAATTTACTATAGCTCACAAACATGATTTACTTAATTTTTCAAAGATTCGATTAAAGTATTTATCATTGTTCAAAAAGAAAAATGATTTTTATACATATTGTCAATAATACTATAAAGTAATATGATTGTTTTAATATAAATATTGCTTTAAATAACTGTGTTGTATTGTAGTCTTAAAACATTTATTTAAAGTATAAATTATTCTATTTAAAAAATGATTTTTTCAAAAATTTGATTAAAGCTACAGTCTATTTTAAAATTAAAAAATTATTTCAAATTTAAATAAAATAAAGTACTTCTATTTTATTACCACATGATGTGGTCCACATCTCATTTAATGATAATAATTAAGGAAAAATTATTTGAGTATATTTTAAAATATACATACTTCTTTCTTTTCAAAAAATAAAATTTTAATTTTAATACAGGTATTGGCCCTATATATATATTTCTTCCCACAATAACAAAGCAATTAGGATATACAATGTCGACATATGGAACTATTATGACTTGTGCAACATTATTGGGAATGATAGCATCACCTATATTTGGGCAAATTGTTGATAAATATCCTGTTCGAAAAAAAATATTTTTCACAGCCATGATTATTGGCGGTGCATGTTGTTTGTCGATCATGTTTATTCCTGGATTTCCATTGGATACAAATTCAGAATTGGTTTGTGGTAATGAGACGTATTTAAATGTTATATCCCAAACTTATCAACAATCAGTATGTGATGATAAAAAATTATTTAACCCAATGAACAGTGGAATAATTAATTGCGAAGTAAGAAATAAATTCACATTAAAAGTATAAAATAGGCAATATTTTACTGATTATGTTATGAAAACGTTTTTAAAACATTTTGATAAATAATTTATTTATTTATGTGAGTGTATATGTTTACTCACATACATAAACAAAAGAAAATTTAACTGATAAGGTATTTAAAAATAGCGTTACCTTATTAAAAAAAATAATTCGACTTACAATTTGTGACTTTTGTGATACATATATATTAAGATAAATTATTTTTTTCAATTCTAAATAGTGTTGTCAATGTTTTATAGAAGTATACTCAGACATGTATAATTTTTTGATAAAACAATAATTAAAAATATATCATGGATCTTTTTGTATAATAATCGATTTTGTATACATATTGATATCAAAAAAGTTCAATTATTGGGTTTATAATATTTATACATAAAATACTTTGTTATAAATAGTAGTATTGCTAATAATACAACATAAGAAAACGAATGCTCTTTATTTGATTATTTTATTAACTTGTGAAGTCTCCACAGGTAATCAATTTAATTTTATGAAAACACAACAATAACATTGACATTATTTCAATAGATGTTTTAACAACATCATTTCTGTTTAAAACATGAAGTACAGTCGGTATTCAACGTATTGGAATTGAGAGTTATTTTTAGATTATTATTCATTAATATTTTACAATGATGAAAATTACTGCCATAAAATACTTCGAAGTGTATTTGAAACAAATAAAAAAAAATTATTTTATTTATTAAAAAAATTACATGATTTTTGATCTAAAGAGGCAGATTTCTCAATGAGGACAAGTTTTCATATCATTTTTTTTAATATTATAGTACACAATAAAACCTTAAATTTGATTTAGCTTTGAATTATGTAGATATTCTGTTGCTTTGTAAAACACTTCAATGCAATGCATTTTTACAGAAAAATGTATTTTTGTCTTTTATACCCAATAATTTCTAGAAATCAAAATTTTGGAAAGTTTTTTACTTTGATGAACAAGATCACATAATAAAACATTCGTGGCATGTTTTTTTATATTGTAGTACAATACAAAATCTTTAACTTGGTATAGGTTTAAAGTTGTAAAACCTTTTTTAATATTTCAAATAATTGAGTTCAAATATTTTTTTTTAAATCATGGGTGTTCTTATCCAAACCTTTCCTGTACAAGATTTTTAATTTGATTTTCATAAAAATTATAATATTATTTTTAATATTATTAAAAAAAATTGGTTATCTTTTAGTATTGGCGATATAAATTTTATTAGAATTAGTGTTATTAAAAAAATTTATAGAAATTTTAAAACTAAGCCGATAAAAATTTGAAAATACCTTTTTTTACGATAACATAATTTTCCTACACTCATCTTTACACTAAATTTGTAGTTTTTGAATAAAAAAATTATTTTATTTTTAATAACAACAATAATAACAATATTGACTACAACAATTTGTAATTCAAGGATTTATTTTTATCCCTTTAATTTCTCTGTAATTTCGCCAATAAAGTGAAAATTCATTTAGCATAAAAGTAAAGTAAGGAAAGTATTAAGAATATTATTAATAAATGTAAACAGAAATTTATCAGTATTAAATCTAGTTAAAATATAAAATTATCTTTTATCTTGATAATTTACTTCACAAATATATTGATCTTGTTTAACTCTAATATCTTTATCTAATTTAGACGAATATTTTGTTATCTATTTCCAATACATCAATTCCTTTTTTAAATTCTTATAAATATGTCTTTGTTAAAATAAACAAAAAAAGTATACATATGTATTTTATTTTAATATTTGTTTTATATAATATCATGAGCAGTTGCGCTGTCAAAGAATACCATTCACTATTGAACCATTAAAAAAGGAAGCAGAATGTGAAAATTGTTTCAATAATTTAATGATGAACGAATCTTCAAGTCACTTAATAAAATCAATACAAGATAACTATCCGTTTAAAATTTCAATTAATGTTAATTTTACAGAACACGTAATTATATTTTGAAAGTAGTTCAATAAAGTTTTTGCTTATTACTTTTAAATTCTAAAATATTTTTCCAAATAAGTTTTTTTAATTATTAATAGAAATATTATTACTATTGTTATAATTTTTATGGTTTAATTATACTCATATTTTTATTAAATTATATTTTATGTAATTATAATTATTAAATTTTATTATATTATTATATTAACTAAATTATTATTAATTATGTTAGATATAACACAAACAATTTGCACTGTATTCCAATGAAAATTTTTAAGGGCAAATGTTTGAAAAATTTTTATTATATCTTTTGATAAATAAAAAAAATTAATTTACTCTGTATATTATTTATTTTATAGATACAATATATATACGTGTTTCGTGTATTGTCAGCTCAATTAAATGATACTCAGATATTGAAATTAAATTGTGTAAATTACGTAAAATCATCTTGCCATTTAAATTGTTCAAATGATTTATTAATGGATTTGGCTTCTACACCAGCAATCACGGGAAGCGTAACACAATATAATCAATTTTGGATATTTTTTATTGTATTGGTAATGATGTCTATTTCCTTTAATATTACGGATAATTTACAAACATCTCTTTGCCTTGATCTTTTAGGTAAATACTCTTTCTTATTATACTTTTATGACGAAGTTAAATCATGCTTAATATGTAGGTCAAAATCATCATTACTTTGGAAAAAACAAGTGTTGGACATCTATTGGATGGGGTGTTTTTTCAATTATAGGCGGTTGGCTTGTAGACAATTTCAGCCCAAATCCTAGGCACAAAAATTATTCACCAATTTTTCTTTCATCTATAATGCTCACAATTTTTTATTTGATTGTGGCATTGAAAATTAAAGTATGATTTTACTTAGTAATTTAAATAAAAAAAATTGCTAATTCATTAATATTGGTTTCAGATAGTTGAAACTACTGGAAAAAAAAACAATGTTGATGGACAATTTGTATCAGTAAGATTATTTAGAAAGTGTTATGTGCTTATTTTTTTCACATGGATATTTGTGATGCAATTTTTTCATTCAATAATTGCCCATTTCCTATTTTGGTAAATTTTTTCAAATTTATTATTATATTACTTAGATTACTAATAATTTATTATGATTATAAATTTAGTTACATTATTTAATTTTCTTAATGCATTTTTGATAACATATTCAGTTATTAACGTGAAAAAAGTGACTGTACAAAAAACAAGAATTTTCAGTTAACATAGTTACACAGTGTAAGGATAAGACACTCATTTGGAAACTATTGAAAATATCTAAATAATTATTTTCATTCATTCAGAGATAAAAAAACTTTATCTTTAATTTTATATAATGAAACGTCTATTTTTAGTTTAAAGATAGATAGAAAAATATTTTCAAACATATTTCTTCTTAACATTTTTTTTTCGGTATATCATTCTTCTATTTTTGCTTGTTTTAGTTTAACAATTTTTGACCAATTTTCGGTCGATTTTTTGCTGTTTAGCATACAATAGATTGTCATAGTAACAACTCAATATCATCCATCATACAGAAATCTTGTCTTTAATAATTCATGTCAATAATAGACACATTTATTCAAAGTAAATTTACTATCGTATATTGATAAACGACGAGCGTGGAAAAATTTTCTTGAAAATCACCATAAAAATAATTTATGGCTTATAGAAGCATAAAATTATAAATATATTTATGTTATCTCATGCATTAAAATACCAATTAATGATGAATTTCTTCAAAAAGAATATTTCCCTTAAGAAAATTAAAACTTTTCAATAGTTTCCAAAAAAATGAGTATCACCTGTTTAATACTATGATTTATACTAAACAATATATTAAATAATTTAAACTATATCTACTATAATAGATATATTTAATTATAAACCTATAGGTTTATAATTAAATATTTCTGACTTTTATGGTAAAATACTTCTTTTATTCATTTCACTATTTTTATTTACAAGTTATTAATTAAATGTATTACAACATGTATACTCATTTTTATTTATGATTATTAGTACTTAATTATGTATCACACTGTAGACAATATTATATACTATATTTGGGTTAAATTTTTAAGAATATTTAAGAAACTTTTTAATCATTTTATGCATTTTAATTGAAATAATTACACATAATTATTTCAATTAATGTAGGTATTTAGATGATTTGGCTGATAATTACGAGTGTAGTAAACGAGAATGGATGAAGACAGTGCAAGGTTTAGCTCAAGGAATCCAGTGTTTTGGCGGAGAATTACCCTTTTATTTTTGGTCTGGTTGGATAATACAAAAATTAGGATATTTAAATTGCATGGCGTTGTCATTAGGTGTTTTGTCAATAAGAATGTTTTTGTATTCAACATTGACTAATCCTACATGGGTTATATTAATTGAAATAACAAATGGTATATCTTATGCGCTTGCAGTGGCTGCTAAAATGTCATATGCAAAACTTATTTGTTCTCCAGATCAACTAAATTCCACAATAGGTTTTGTAGGTTTTTTTATAATAGGAGGTTTGTATACCAATTATTATTTTATCTACAAATAACTAATTATTCCAATTTCATCTGTTTAGCTGATTCATTAGGAAGTTTTGTTGGTGGACATTTTTATGAGGCCTATGGAGGTGTCAAAATGTTCAAATATTGCTCATATTTAGTTGGGATATTGTGCATATTACAAATATTGTGTAATTATTTCGGTCTATCGAAAGAATTTAAGGAAAAAAATGTTTCTACGAGTATACAAGAAAATAAATTGGATTCAAAACTTTAATATAATAGATGAAAGAATCAAAATGAATCTTGTTCCTTGTTATATTAATATTTAATCATTAAAAGTATTAACATGTGTGTGTGTTTATTTTTTTTTAATAAATTTGTAAGAAACGTTGAGTATTGTAGTGCAAGTTCGCAGTATAAAACCTTTATGACGAATTTTCGACAGTAGCTGTATTATTAACTACCATTCAAGCATAGTAGAATAAATAAGTTTTACTATTATAACTTTTAATCCTAAATAGCTTGTTTTAATTATCGATTTATTATTATTAATATCTGGCCATCAAAACTCCTGTACGCAGCCTTATGCTTTGTATCATTCATCAGTCCCAGTACTCGGATGCCGCTGTCCGACTTACTGTATAAAGTCAAGTCTTTGTGCATTCCTCTTGAACTTCGTCTGTACCTCACACTCGGCTACACCTGATTATCTAATTGAAGTACTTGTTTTTTGCACCTCGTACTTGATTATCCTTTACTGAACTAAAATAACTTATGTATTGCACTTCATCTGTACCTTGTATTTAGTTATATTCCTTGCCTGGTACGCCTAGTATTAGTGTCTTGCACTTCGCCTACATCTCATAGCTTGGTGTTCCTCTTATTTCTTTCCTATAACAACGGCCTTTTGACATTCACAGTCAATCCGTAGTGTCAGCCAAACACAGAGACTACAGTACGATTACAAGTACTTGAGTGCCTAAATAGAGTTATCATTATTCATCTACTTAACTCTTTTCTACTTCCCTTTATGGTTTGTTTTGTATTACGACAACAGGTAGCTAATTATTTTTCCATGACACGGTTGTCACAGATACGCTGTATTTATTGTCAATTATGACTTTATCAACATATATGTTTAAAGTATAGTTATATGTAAGACATAATGTTGTGAGTTTACATTTATATATAAATCAACTGGCAATACAGAAAACGTGTCTGTGCATAGTCATAATTGACAATAAACGCTTCGTATATGTAATAAAGACGTCATAATTAGTTATCTGTATTTGTAATCCATCATAAATTATACATGTATATTAATTAAACAATTTTAAACTATAAAGTTTTATATCTAATAAACGAATAAAGTAATGTTAAAAATTGAAATGTCATTTACTTTTAAAATAAAACCTCAAATATTTTATTAAATTCAAAATATATGTTTCCACTTAAAAAAACAAAGTTGATACCCTTACAGTTGTAACTTTTTATGTGTCATCCCTTATGCCTTAAAGTATAAAAGATAAGCTTAAAAAGTATTACTTAGCTAATGGTTCAAGAATAATATGTATTTAAAGATAACCAAAAAATATATATATTTAAATTATTCTGTAAGTAATTACATTATGTATATAATATAATATATATGTACAGAATGTTGAGTAAGTAAGGAAATAGGTCAATTGTTACAAATTAATTAATTGTTAATTAGAATAATAGAAAACCGTTTCTTTACTTACTGAACACGTTATATATAAACAAATGTATATCTGTTTGTTCTTTAAATTAAGTATTAAATATGCAAATATGAGCTTTATGTTGAAATATTGTTATTCAAAAATTAAGTTGATGACAATTTAAATGATACGTATAATTGTGATATTATACATTAAATTGTCTAAATAAATATATCTATATTCATTAATAAAATAGTAATCAAAATATCCTTTGAGAAAAACCGAAGAGTAAGTTGATTAAAACCGGATGGATATTTTATTATTTTTTTCAAAAATTGTTTTCTTTATTGTATTTATAACCGAGTTCTCTTTTAAAGTGGATTTATTTATGAGTTTGAGTAGTACTAAGGTCTTTTTCTTATGTAGGACTTACTTAAATTTTGTCAGTCAATCCTAGTGTTTTTTCCTTCCTCGTGAAGTTTCACTAATTTACCATTTAGTATCTTTATTGTGTCTCCTATTTCAGCTATAAAATGTTGTGCCCAACTAATTCTATATTGATGGAACACTTAATACGTTCTTTATATTCTTTGATGCGTTAGGCAGGCGTTTTCATTGTTTTTACTTGGCTAGCTTCATTTGCATTCTATTTATTTTCAATATTTGAAGCTGAAATTTTCTTGTCTTTTTACTTGTTGAATCAATTGATCAATCACTTTCCGTTTGAAAGACATATTGATTTGGTGGTTAAGTGTAAAATGGTCTGCTTATTTGTTAGAATAATATATATCTGCAATAAACCAGTTTTCATTTAATATATGAATTTAGGCGCATATTTTTTACACGTGTGCGTGGCTGATGGGCAATCGTATTTTTTATTATTTAATACCATCCAAACTTCAGTTTTGTATAAAATAATTTAGATGTTTAATACAAAAATTGTATGCCACCCATAGAAATGTATGCAACGTAAATATTGTAGTTAAAAATTATACTATTCAAAATATTATTTTTTACATTTATTTACTACCTATTGTCTTAATTCAAAACAAACCACAAATAGATGGTGCAGAGTTGCGATGATGACAATGATTCTGTTGCCTTGATATTCACGTACGTGTAATCGTACAGTAGTCACCGTGCTCGGTTGATACTCCGGTTGGCTGTGGGTGTCGAAAGGCCGTTGTTATAGGAAAGGAATAAGGGAAACACCTAGATATGAGATGCAGAAGAAGTGCTAAACACAAGTATTTTGAAATGTAGAGGACGAAAGTAGGTATGTGCAAAGGAAAGAACAAAGACTTGACTTTGTACAGTAAGCCTGATAGCCATAATCGAGTACTAGAACTGTTGAATGACACTAACAAAAGGCTATGTACTAGAATCGACTGACCAAGATGACCGGATCTTTTGTGTTTAAATAATTTTAAGATAATTTCTAATTTCACAATGATTTTTTGTTGTCAATTCATCAGTCGCTAGCAGCGGATACGCTGTCTGTGTTTTATTTTATAATATTTTTTACAATGATGGTAACGTGTTGACACCATCACACTATACACTATAAATATTTCTCAGCTTATTTAATTTTAGTATTAATTCACATATAATAGGAAGTGCTTATGCTTTACAACTTATAATATGATTTGGCTTCACGGATAACTTTGGAACTTAAAACATAATATATTAAAAAGTATGAATCAAATATTTTCATTATACTTAAAAAAAAATGTTCTACAAAAATAAAAATAAATATTTTTTAAGATTTTGTTAGCTTCTAGTTTTTATTTTAAAATTTCTCAAACATAAATATAAACAAGACAATGATTCCAATGATACTAGGTTTCTTTTTTTTTGGTTTTAAGTATAAATATTTGTATTTAATTTTAGTATATTTTAAATCAAGAAAATAGCCTATCCCACGTAATCTTCTTGAGAATAATCATACTTTTATAAGTTTTTTAGGATATTGTTTTTAAAATACAAATTTCAATAAAGGAAATAATTATGAGATGACGATAGAGTAACAACATGGTGGATATACGCCATCAGTATGTGACTGATTTTAAGCAGTTAGACTTAGCTTGCAAGACATTGAGACATCATGGAACAGGTACGGATACAAGGATGAACATAATAGTAATGCCTCCCCCCCCAAAAAAAAATGACACAACTTTCATTTTTAAAATTTAGTATCATCAAATATAATTGTATTATTACTTAATACTATTACTTCAACTATAAATTTATAAGTCTATAATTCTTTCTTTAATGTATTTACATCTATTCATCTTAAAATTAATAAATTGAAAATTTTGATAGTATTCAGCCTTTTATAAAAAGACAACTGTCATTAAAATAGTTATGATTAATATGAAAAAATAATACTTCATGGCAGTAGAGTTATAAAATTCAAAAAGTAAATAACTTTATACAAGGTTATATATAAAAAATCCAGTACAGTGGGGTCCAGTATAGATTTAATCTGATAATGATTAAAATCCCTATCATAAGAAACGCTTCGATGCAAATCTGTAGATAGTTTTTAAATTTAATAAATTGGTGGATAATTACAAAAGCAACATCAACTTCTATTTCCTTAATTATATCCAGATTGGTAATTCTTAGATTAAAAAAAATATATATAATTTTTATAATTAATTGTTTTCAAATTATTATTAATTTTGATTTTTAATATGTTAAAAGTAATCATTTTTAACCTACTTCTTTTGTGAAAACTTATAATAAAAAAAAAAAAATTATTTATTGCCATAACTTTTAGCTCAACTTGTAAGTTTGACATCATTAAATAATAAAAAATGGTATTGTTAAGATTAATATGGAGTCTGCAAATTTTATAACTACTATTTACGGTAAATTTATCAGAAAAGTTCAATTTTTTTTTGCATTTTTATCGAATAGACCACTTAAATAAAAATTATAGTAATCAGTGGCGTATTTTGAATGATTTCTCGGGTGGTGTCCAACTTTTAATGAACCTCACAAACGAAAATTGTAGAAATGTTTACTGACGTAAACTATTTTTCTAATTAATATTTTAGGAATTGACAAGTAATTTGAAATTTGAAATTTTGGTATTGTTGTATCTTAAAAGAAACAACCCTATTGTCTTAACTTAAAGTAATAAAAGTTTAATAATAACTCAAATGTAATTATTATAGACATAATCAAAAAATGCAAAATATACAAAATATATATATACTTAAAACACAATAAAACAATACACAAAATTAAAACTTAATGTCATAAACGTACCGCGCGAAAAGAGATTACCTTCGGTGCTCCCGAGGTCCTCTCTTCTTTACAATTCATTCTATTTCGTCTTATATACTAAAAAATTTTGTTTTTTCTTCTTTTTACAAAATTAATAATACTATCATTTTCAAAAATGTTTATAAATATTTAATTCCTGGTCTAGTAACAATAGATCAGGAAATTATAATTAAACCAAACATTACAAAAATGTTTTACTTCCAGCTTTACAAATGATAAACTATATTACAGTATACAGAGTGATTTTTTTATCATAACCCACTCATTTACTTGCAGAATAAATATAATTTAAACATTTTTTTTTTTGGTTTTCTTTAGTTACACATTATTTTTGAACTATTAACTATTTAAAACTTTTTATGTTCATCCCTTATGCCT